TTCCTGATTCTAATTACTGTTACTGTATGTCATATTCCCCAATTCTAATTTTGTCTCATTATTCCTTTAGGCCAGTGTTCCTCAATCTCAGCAACTTTTAAGATATGTGAACTCCAACTCCCAGAATTCCTCACACAGCTTAAAGTTGCCAAGGTTGAAAAACACTGCTTTGGGCCTATATCTTTCATGTCCCTGCATTGCTCTACCCGTCCTCTCTCTATTCATTAGTGTTCCAGAACTCCTTCCCACTGATCCAGTTGACTGTAAAGATAATAACCTTACTCTGGATTTAAAGACTAATTCCTAAGAAACCACTCTCAGTTCAAAATGTTTTTGCCTTTGCTCTTCCAAACTTTTATCTCTTCTTCTTAGTTCCTCTTTATCTGCTCATTGCTTGCTCGCTCTTTTTTTTTCTCTTGCTCATAACTGTGGTCAGAAGCTTCTTTGAATCTCTGGGGAGGAAGGACATGTGGGGTGGGTGTGTTTGCAGCTGATTGGCAAGCACTGTCTTCCTGGAACCAAGCACAAGTTCTCAGGAAGCATTTGAACTTGGTATACTTGGCATTCTAGTGAATTTCTTCATTGCACTCCAGCCAACTCTGTTCCCTTGTGTAATTGGTTGCCACAACAGTAATACCAGATGCTGCCTTCTAACCTTGAAAAATTACTTGCTCTTAATTAATTATGAAACAGAAAAGATGCCATGCCTGGCTTGGTTGTATAAAGAGATTTTGTGTGTGTAGTTAATGATTTGAGGCTAATATCCTGAGGCAAAAGAAAATGACCTCCAAGTAACCAATTGGTTGAGACAGGCACCTATAAAAAAATAAATAAAATAGTGGAATGGATTTTCTTGTTCAGATTTTCCAGGTAAGAATAATACTTTGCATTGTAATTTAAGAGATGTAAATTGATGAATGATAATTTCTTTTTCACAGGCTGACCAATGTACAGGACTCCAAGGATTTTTGGTCGTCTTTCACAGCTTTGGAGGAGGGACTGGCTCAGGATTTACTTCCTTGCTGATGGAACGTCTCTCTGTTGATTATGGCAAGAAATCCAAATTAGAATTTGCTATTTACCCAGCTCCACAGGTCTCCACAGCTGTGGTGGAGCCCTACAACTCGATCCTCACCACACATACCACCCTTGAGCACTCAGATTGTGCTTTCATGGTGGACAACGAAGCCATATATGATATCTGCCGAAGGAATCTGGACATTGAGCGGCCAACTTACACAAACCTCAACCGCCTTATCAGCCAGATTGTGTCTTCCATCACTGCCTCGCTACGCTTTGATGGGGCTCTGAATGTAGACCTGACAGAGTTCCAGACCAATCTAGTGCCCTACCCTCGTATCCATTTCCCTCTGGCTACCTATGCTCCGGTTATCTCTGCGGAGAAGGCCTACCACGAGCAGCTTTCGGTGGCTGAGATCACCAATTCTTGCTTTGAGCCTGCTAACCAGATGGTGAAGTGTGACCCCCGCCATGGCAAATACATGGCCTGCTGCCTTTTGTATCGAGGGGATGTGGTACCTAAGGATGTCAATGCTGCTATTGCTGCCATTAAGACCAAACGTAGCATCCAGTTTGTAGACTGGTGTCCTACAGGCTTTAAAGTGGGTATCAATTACCAGCCTCCCACTGCAGTTCCCGGGGGAGACCTAGCCAAAGTTCAGCGGGCAGTCTGCATGCTGAGCAACACCACAGCCATTGCTGAGGCCTGGGCCCGCTTGGACCACAAGTTTGATCTAATGTATGCCAAGCGGGCCTTCGTGCACTGGTATGTTGGGGAAGGGATGGAAGAAGGGGAGTTCTCTGAGGCTCGGGAAGACATGGCCGCCCTGGAGAAGGATTATGAAGAGGTGGGCCTTGATTCATATGAAGAGGAAGAGGAGGGAGAAGAATAGCTATACATGCTCTACTTTGTCTGGACCTTCCTTTTCATTAAAGTAAGCTTGATTTGAATCCAAACTACAGTAATGTGTTTGTCCCAGACAGAATTCACATGGAGCATTTCTATCTAATGCAATTTTTGCTCAGAGCTGTCTAGTAGTTCTGGCTGCCTTACTTGACAAAGGAATTATTTACATTTGTAAACTGAACAGCACATCATAAAAAAGCTCCATGTCTACTGATAATTTTGGCAAAGTAATAAACTTTAGGTTACAACATAGACTTTGCACATTACCATGAAACGATTACCCATTCGATATCACTTTTGCTCCACAAAAGCAAATTCATCTTTCGGTACAAAACTTTAAATGAAAGAATGAGAATGTTTTGATTTTAAATAAGAATGGAATTAGTTGAAGAAACAGTGAGCTTATTTCTGAATAATAAATTATTCACCTATTTTCCAGCTGGGGAAATTCCATTCTTCTATATGTATTTTGGGAATAAATTGCCTTTTAAAATACAATGTTTCATGAGTTGCAGATGTCAGAATAGGATGTCAGGCTACAGTGTTGCAAAAACCAACAAACTACCAATTAACATTTTAAATGCAAGCCAATCCGTTAGAAGCAACCTGCCCAAACCTATCATAGACGGACATTATGCCTGAGCAGATATCTGATTTTTGTTTATTGAAACACATGAAAGAAAAAAGACAAGAAAATGTTAATGGGACTGTGCTCAAGCTGAGATCTGGTTAGCTTTAACAATGCAATAGTAACTCTGTTTGGTAGTTACGCTGAGCCAGAAAGGTTCACCATCACTGGATATGTTCAGAAAATACCGGTATCTTAACTCGACTCTGCTAATGTATCTTACAAACAAAAGAGACAATTCTCTATTCCCATGATGGTGAACCTATGGCATGCGCGCCGTCGCCCCAGGTCAAATTTCTCCATGGCATTTCTTTCGTGAGCTTCTGTTTCCCTGCAAACGATGAAACAGAAGCTCATGAAAGAAAAAGATCTTGCCTCTTGCTGTGCTGCCGGTGTTAGGATGCACTGCCTCCCGCCGGCCAGCTGGTCTTTGGGTCTCTGCTGCGCATGTGCGTGCACATCCATGCATGTGCATGTTTGTGCATATCTGCACATGTGCATGTTCGTGTGTGCGCATGCATACACTTTTTGGTTTGGGCACGCACATGCGCAATTTGGGCACTTGGTGTCTTAAAGTTCACCATCACTGCTCTATTCGCTGCCCCCTTCAGGCAAGAGGAGCCACGGCTGGGCCCGAAGTTGAGACCTGGGCCCTACCATCACTGCTGCCACTAAAAAAAGGCCACCTCATTCCCCCGAGGTGCAATTGCCCTGTGACCCAGTGCTCCACAGGAACTGCCATATACCACTTAACTTTAGGTGGTGTTCTCTTTCTGTAGACAGGTGTCTGTGGCCTACCCAAGGCTGCTTCAGGTTGCACAAGGTTTTTGTTCTTAAAGCAACTCTGGAGAATGCTCTTCCACAGCCTCTGCGGGTCCCAAATTCTGTCCCAGTTCTGTGATTTTCAAGGGTTTCAGAGGACATGCATGTCCCTCTTGACTTCCAGAAGATCTGAAGGTCATGCAAAAGCACATCCCATACATGTGCAGCCTCTGAATATTGCAAGGAACCACGTGCCTGTTCTTGCAAGGTTTTTTGGTGGAGCTGGAGGCAGCATCTGAGTGCATCCCATTCTCATACAGCCTCTACAGGCCCTGAAAATTGTGCAAGAACAGGACATACTTTTGGGAATAGTTTTTGGGTGTGGGTAAATATTGACATGTCATCCAAAATCAGCCTGTCAAGTTCAGCCATGGTAGCTTTGCTACATTTGGCCCTTACCAAACATAGCTCTTGATCAGTTTCCATTTTGAGTGAGCAGCTACTGTACATATGGTACAGTTAGTCTTTGTCCAAAGACTTGTGCTGCATCCTGTAAAAAAGTTAAAACCTTATTGCCTTCCTGCATTTTCCTTGTATAGGTTATCCCCCCCACCCCAGTTAATTCAAATGTCTTCATGAATCAACTGGTACAAAGACTTAACATGACCTCTCCCAACACTGAACGTCATAAGGACGGAGGACTAAAATCCCAACATTCCTGCTAGCACATTGACTGTTCTGATGTTGGAGGCTGCTGTTTCAGAAGAAACATACTCTAGGTTGGATAGGGATATATGCATATTTCACAACTAATGGGGAAAAATGAAAAGGAGTTACAGTAATCAGATAGTATACTGAGCCCCCCCCCAAAACCCCAACCCCTACCATGCTTGATTCAGCAAGAGTCTATACTGTATATGCCATCCTTTTATACAGACTGTATATCAGTATTCTCTTCCCTCCATTTCTGTTCTAACTGGATTGTATCACAGAAATTTAAGCTAGAAGCACCATCACCCTTAAAAAGTGATGGGTGGTGTAAGGATATACATTTTATTCCTGAAACTGGTATTAATGTCACTGATTTATTTTGTTCAGTCAGACATCCTGCTATGCCAGAGCTTTAAAAAGCAACTAATTACATGTTGTGCATGCACTACATGTTTGTAATGATGTGTATGAAAAAAAGCTTTTTCTTTTGAGCTACATTCCAATGAAATAACATTCAGAATGTATCCTGTACCAGTTTCTAAAAACTGCACTCTTGTCACGGGGAATAATGAGAACTTAACACAAGTTCTTTGCTCCTTCATTTTTCACTCTATAGCTAGAGAAAACTGCTGTTCTTTGCTGGTGACTATCGGTGATCTGATATACAAAAATTGTTTTTGGAAAAGGGAAGTCATGTTTTCTCATAGAAGACAATAAAAACAAGATTCTCTAGGCCTTTTTTTCAGCCTGCTTACACAAAGAGCTCAGAAGTCTTGCAAAGAGTCGCTTCAATAACCGAGTTTGAAACTTCTGTCTTCATAATGTACACAGTGCATACTTTTGCATCTGACCAGCAGCCAGGAGTACATAATAAACTAAAACCAATGGTCTTGGCATTTAGCATGCAGCCTGAAAGCTCAAGCCTCAGTGAGGGCATACAATGTGCTCAGCTAAAAGAAAAAAGCCACACAGTGCAGCATTTGCATTTTATAACAATGAACCAATTTCTGCAGTTATTGGCAACACTTGGGTAATACAGTGTGCACAGCACATATTCAAATATGTTCAAAGTCCTATCTGCAAAAGAATACAACACAATGGTAAACAACCCAATCTAGGAGGTCTATCTTCTCTATACCAAAGAATAAATAATGTTTTTGTTCAGATAGACATGTAAGTAACATTAGTCCATCAGGTGGAAAACTGATGGTCCAGAATTGCCTCTGAATGCACAGGATATCTGTTCTGACTCAGCAAAACTAATTCAGGTGCTGCAGCAGCAACATCTCTCTGAACCGTGTTTAAATAATTGCTGCTTGTTCCTCTATCCCATTCTGTTAATAGAAACAAAGTTGTACAGTATTCGTTACGCTTATCAGCTATGCTGAGGGAAAGGCCTTAAGCCAATTATAATGGGTAAAACAAGGACTTGAGTCTCCTAGGAGATCGTAACAATGGTTCTATTAGAATGGTGTACAGAATAATGTATATATTCTATATATACAGTACTTTCCAGAAACATCACTGAATGCAAAGACTTGGATAACTTCTAAAAGGTAAATTCATCTCCTGGTAAAGGGTTTGAACCCCATAGAAAAAGATCTGACAATCTGATGAGTCTCAATATGGATGAACTTGGTTATACACTGCCTCCTACTGACATATTCACAATAATTGTAAAATGCTTGAAACTGCTCCATTTTGTTTTAGCTCAAAGGAAAACCTGAGAATGAGACAAAATGCTCAATTTGGGTATTTTGTTCCAAACTCAAAACACTTAAAACAGACATTTTAAGCTTGGAAGTCCTGCACATACCTATTACTGTGGAAATAATGAACTTTTCAGAGAGTTAAAATTTCCTACTTTATGTGACTCTTCTCCCTTAAAACAATTAACAATTAATGTAAATAATATAAAAAAAGATTTCTGTATGTAGATGTTAAGCAGTTCTTTGAAGCTTGTAAAAAAGAAAAATCTACTGGAATAACCAAGATAATGTGACAAAATATGTAAGAAACATGAGGGGAAAATGTGTGATTGAGCAGTATATACAGTATGTGATAAATAAACACCACTATTGCTGGATCACATTTTTATCATCTTGGTGGTTTAAAAATGTCTAAGATGGTGGCTGTATTTTATTTAACACTTAGGCCCTGAGGGCCTGCCTTTATCAAAACAATCTCGGCATCAATCCACACTTACACATTCAGGTACAAATTTAGGAGCATTTTTTTTTTCACAAAGAGAATTTTGCTCCCTTGGGGCAATTTCATGCTTTGTGGAGGCATTTGATAAGGGCCACTAATCGGAGCAGTCAAAGCCTGGTAAGATACAGGAAAGAGTAAAGGAGTGAGTCTCAAAGACCAGCATTGTCCTTAATGCAGTCCCATTGTAAGACAGTTCCTCCAAGTAGAAGACTGGCCTTCAGCATGACGTCTTCTCAAGTGTTTGCTCTGAACTTCATCTCTTGAGGTCCAACCTGGGCTGAAATGCCTTCAGCTGCTTCTGTTTTTAGCGGCACATCCTGTGGTCTCAGATACGTGTGGCATCCTGTCCAGTGAGAGGTGGCTGTATTGCTTCAAGCTGACAGATTATGTCAGCAACAAATGGGCGCTCCTGAGGATTGACCACCATTGTTGAAGAGAGGAGGTGTTCCAAGGCTGGAGAGTACCTGAAATTTAGAACCAATTCAGATCAATCTGTCCTTGGATTAAGAGCAGCCACAACCCCCTCCCCACTTTCTAGGTAGCAAATGCTTGCCTGGTATTCTGGGGCACCGTAAGGCGATTCTGAACAGCTAAGGCCACACTGTCCCCCTTTTGGAAAATCATGTCGTAAGGTCCTTCACCAAACATCATGCAGTAGAGAACACAGCCTAAGGACTAAGCAGAGGTAAGGTGAGCCTATGGAGCAAAAAGCTGATCGTGGAACAATGAAATAGGATTTTCCTCCTCTGTATAAGGTATATTTGAATGTAGTGCAGCAATATTAAATATTTATATTTTCTAAGGAGAAGTGATGATCCTTACCCAGATGTCAGTACGTTCATCAATAACACATTCACGCTCAACATTGAACAGTTCTGGGGCTCGATAGGAGATGGTGCAGCGTTGGGCAGCCCAGTCCTGTGGGATCAACAGGGGAAGGAAGATAAATCTAAGACAAAGTCTGGGAAGAAAGAGGAGAAATATCTCAAGTCTTCTCTGCTAGCAGGTTTCTACCACAGACCCCTCTGGTTGCTATTGGGGATAGTTAAAAGGAAAAAATACTTTAAATTAAGGGCATTAATCTATATATATATAAGTGAAATACCACTCATGCATCATCACAAACTCTCTGGAACTGTAAAGCCTACAAACTTGAAATTTGCCACATATGTTCCTCTTGGCTTCTAGGTGCTCACTAAGAAAGGATTTTTCGAAAAGACCATCAGAGCATTAGTATTTCCTATATTCCTACGCTCTGATGCTAAGGAGTTCTACTCCCCCTCCCCACCTGAAAAGAAATCTGTTCCAAATGCAAAACACAAGCAGAGGAGAGGAGTTTCAGTTTTCACAGCAGCAAGCAGTTTTATTACAGAACAGTTGAGCTAAGCCATGGCCAGGCTCCTTCCTGTCTCCTTCTTGCTCACACAGCAAATACTGTTTCAGTTTCCAAACAACCCTTTGATGCTAAAGAGTTCTACTCCCCCTCCCCACCTGAAAAGAAATCTGTTCCACCCTCTGATGGTAAGGAGTTCTACTCCCGCTCCCCACCTGAAAAGAAATCTGTTCCAAATTCAAAACACAAGCAGAGGAGAGGAGTTTCAGTTTTACTTTCACAGCAGCAAGCAGGAGATAGGATAGGGGAGGTTTCTGTGGGGCAAGCCTGAGGGAGAGAAGGGGAGAGGAGAGGCCGATTGTAACTACTCATTAATTTTCAAGCTGTGTCGATTTATCAAGCCCGATCACATAGTTTTGTAGCAGAGCATGAGTATCCAGCTAGTATTAAATATAATACATAGCAGTATGTGCTTAGTAGCGGGTGGGAGAAAAGTAGGAAATTTCAGGACTGTAGACTAAACTGGGAATTTGGGGGGGGGGCATTCCAGCAGAAGGCACTGGTAAACTACTCCCATGCTGTTGACTAAGAAAAACTAGGTGGATGTGTACCTACAATCACTAGAAACTAAGTTCAAGTGAGATTTTAATATGAAATAGGAAAAGCCAAGAGAGATCTAGCAAAGTCACTGTTGAGAAAAGAAAGAAATCTCACCTTGGTCTGCCTGCATTTTTCAAAATACTCAAGAGGCCGAAGTTATGATTTCCAAATCCCATAACAAATAAATATATCCTCCTGGACAGATCTCACTACAGTAATTATTTCTATTGCTTTTGCTTGCTTGCTGTTGAAACTGACTATGTTTGCTGATATTGAAATATTGATCTGGATGGAAAGGGAACACTGCAGCAATCACCTCCGTCTCTTAAAGCAAGGGCTGGGGACTATTTAGCTTTGGATGGGGGGAGTTTTGTGAAAAACAGAGAAAGATACTATTACTAATGTCTATTTTGACTGGTTGTGGATCTCTTAGGTCTTGGGACAAAGGCCATGCATAACTTTGAGGTAGAGAACAAGTTGGTCAGCAGCCCTGGATAGAGAAGGAAAAGATTCTTCTGGAAACCCAAATAAGCTGATCCACTCAGTATCAACAATCCTGTGCCAGACAGAAAAACAGTTCTGATTCAGGATCTGCTAGTTTGACATCTACCCTCATTTTCAGAGGCATCCTCAGCAATGGTCATGATCTTCCAAACAGCGGGCACAACCAAACAAGTGGAGACCTGCTTCTTCTTCTGTGGATGCAATATGTATGACACATATTTGAGGTTGGACTTTGGGCTCACCTGCTCAATGACAGCAACAGTCATTGTAGATGCCATTGCTGACTTTCCCAAATCTTTTGCATGTATACTAGACTTTGCCATCAAGCTACCCAACCATTTCTTTTAAGGGGAGATAACATGTTGGGACACAAAAGACTTTGTGCCATCATTCTGCATGCACAGATAATATTACTACTTTCTAATAATATCCTTCTTCTGCCATTAAATAAAGGGTGCTGGGATATCAATGAAAACCCCTGACTTTTATAATCTGAATAGTTTTATTTCATTGGATGGTTTTCCTTTGTCGTTAGAGCTACTCTCCCATTTCCCTTCGAACAGATCAACCTCATACCTGAATAGTCATAGCCTCCCGTGAGCTCCGCACCTCAATGCGAGCCTGATTCATGGAGCCTAGGTCCATTAGCAGTGGCTGATCTTCATTGTCCAGCAGCACATTTGTTGGTTTTAAATCTCTGGAAAAGGGCAAGCAGAATATAAATGGATCCCTAAATCTGCATTTGGCAAGAGTCCAAGGCATGAGTCCTCAAATCCTGCTTTAAAGGAATTTTGAAGCTTGTAATATTCCAATCAAAGTCTTTCCCTGTACTGAACATACTGTCACACTGATGTTCTGTGCCTTAGGTTTTTCTTTATCTCTGCAAACTTCTCTTTGCCATCAACCCTATTACAAAGACTGACAGTCTGTCATGACTTCAGTTCTGTATTCATGCACCCTGCTTTCTAAGGCCAGCTTCTTACCTGTGTGCATATCCCTTGTTATGGATGGCCTGCAGTCCTCGGCAGATGCCGTGAAAAATGACCAGGATCCGCTCTTCAGGCATGAAGGAGCCTTTATCTCTCTGAGCTTCCACTTCCTGCCAGAGGGTCCCTCTCTGGAAAAGAAACCCAGGTATGTTGGTAACTGAAATGCATTTTCTCCAAACTTATTGAGTGAAGAAAAATATTTATCCCTAGATATTAAGAGACTGTGGCCCAATTTGGCCTTAGGATGATTTATCCTTCTTTTCTATTTGAGCCTCACAACTGCAAAGGTTTAATCAATATTATCATAGGAGTAGAGCCTTCTCGGTTGGGGCGCCCACCCTCTGGAATCAACTCCCCTTGGAGCTCCGACTAGCGCCCGACCTTCGCACCTTCCGCTGGGAATTAAAAACCTGGCTTTTCAAATCCCTTGACCTGGTCTGATGATGGGGTTTTAAGGGTTTTAATGGGTTAATTTTAATTTTTTTAGATTTTAGTCTTTATTTTTATTGTGGCTTGTGTTTTATTGTTGTGAGCCGCCCTGAGTCCATTGTGAGATAGGGCGGCATATAAGCCGAATAAAATAAAATAAAATAAAATAAAATAAAATAAAATAAAATAAAATAAAATAAAATAAAATAAAATAAAATAAAATAAAATAAAATAAAATAAAATAAAATAAAAAAAAAATAAAATAAAATAAAATAAAATAAAATAAAATAAAATAAAATAAAAATTGGTTTGGTTGCTTTTGGTTCAATCCAAAACAAACAAATTGTTTATCTAAAGCAGGACAATCTATGCATGGTTTTGTAACTACAGCGAATACCATGCTATTCTAAGGGTTGATTAATGTATTTGCTACTTGACCATAAGCTCTAAAATATATAAGTTGTCCTAGAACTCTCAGGTGCCTGTGGTTGTAGAGGGAAAATGTGGCAGAACTTGCTGAGCAAAATTACAGTCACAACATCCTGATTTGGCTTGAAGGAGGAAAGGGAACATTTATGAGAGGACCTTAGTTGACTTCAAATGCACTGCATGTAGAACAGTGTTTTTCCAAGTTTACCACCTTTAAGATGTGTGGACCAACTCCCAGGATTCCCCAAACAGCATGCTTTTTGGGAGTGGAAATGCACACATCTTAAAGGTTCTAAGTTTGAAAAACATTGACGTGGAAAGCCAATTGCTGATGATAACTGGAGTCTCTTCTGCACAATACTCTGCTCCCCTTGAGAGGCCAGGTATGGCACTGGATACTCAGTTGATGGCTGTACTAAAGAAAGCTTTTATACTGTTTTTATACAGTTTGGGACAGACCACAGCTATACCTTTCAGGGAAAAATCAGCCTCTGTTACGTGTGCCTTGGTTGCATCCAATTAAACTGGTGTAACACTGCATTTGAAGAACATTCCAAACTTCACCTATTTCAAAATATCCAAAGCCTGTTTTTCAGAAAAGTACAGTCATTTAATTTTTATTTCCAAACATGATTCCAGTGCTGCTTATTATCTATGGACACTTTGGGACTAGTTTCCCCTTCTCCCACAATCCCCTGTATTTTTCATCTGAGGCCTTGCTCAATGTCCCAACCTCACTGGAGCCCTAACTGTGTCAGCCCCACTGGGTTGACCAGATGAGGAATCAACTCGCCAAGAAGGCTAAAACTACCTTTATTGAGATCAAGTGCAATAATAGAATCTTGCAAGTCTGATTTTGTGTACTTCCTCCCCCTTCATTTATTCTAGTGAATTAGGGAGGTGTCTGCCTGAGCTGTTTCTAAATATTACCTCATTTTTCTGGACATAAAAAATGTTCCAGCCATTTTTGCCTAGATAACAGTTCTAGGCATTAAACAGCCATGGTCTTCCTTACTTCCCCCAAGCTGGCAGCGGCAGAATCTTTGAAGGTGGAATACCAGTTTGCCATCGAGATATATTGGCTTGATTGGTGTTGACTTGTTGGCATCCTGTTGTAAACTTTTACTGTGTGTGTCATTATGCCCAATTTTGGAAGTGGGCAAATTTTAATTTTTGTCCTTTTTCTGCAAATTGTATTCGTGTCAGAAGCACCGAGATCCTTCTGGGTCGAAAGGATTAACTGATCCTTTCAGTTAATCCTGACATCACTGTTGCCCAGGGGACGCCTGCTGAGGGTTCTTTTCATGTCCCCATTAATAAGCCTACCAAAGAGATACCCATTTATCTACTCGCATTTGCATGCTTTCAAACTACTAAGCCGGCAGGATCTGGAGCAAATAACAGGAGCTCACCCCGTCTCACATCAGCACTCAGTCTCAAACGCAGGTTTACAGACTGTCAACGTACCATTATAATCACATGAGCCACCACCCTCCCTGTTCTGCAAGCTATACTTCATGAGATTTTTTGTTTTAAATCGTTTCATTTAAAAGGAAAATACTTTTAACCTTTGTGATCACAAGCCATGCACACAAGACAAAAATGGAAAATAAATGCAATTGCATAAGAAAATATATGCAGAAGCCATGATTGAAGCAATTATAGCAATTATACAACAGTCTTCTTAGTGTAAGAACGTGGGTCTTAATTATACTAGCTGACTAATTAACTATACCTTAGAAATTGCCTTCCCGTGAATTGAAAGTAGGGTTAGCACAATGCTGGAAGAGCCCGTTCTTCTCCCTGTCACACCTAATTTATCTAGAGAACACATTTCTTGGCATGCACCTACTGAACCCGTCCGCACCTTACCCCTTAACTGGGAAATTGGTCTGGAGGCTACTGACCTTGAGGAAAGGCAAGAGGAGCCAGGCCTCGTGTTTGGATCCTTTCTCTACCATGGCATGTGCACAGAGGGGCAAAATGTTGGGGTGCTCAAAAAGCAGGTGCATCTCTACCTCGTGCAGAGCTCCCTGACGATCATCCTTGTCATGGCATATGATGCGTTTCAAGGCATAGAAGCGCCCATCCTGCAGCCCTTCGACAAGGTCCACATAGCTGAAGCCACTGCAGGGAGTAAAATAGAATAAGCCACAGGGCAGGAGGACTTATGTATACATACACTTATGTATTCTGATGTAAATGGAACCCAAACAACTTTCTTTCTCTCCTCTTTTCTACCACGTCTTTCTTTACTTTAAAAGGTCATCCTTATTCTTAAATTATGACCCTGTTCTGCTGTCATCCACATCCTACACCTTTGCAGCACTATGAGGGCCGTGTTTTCCATATAGGATTGCTGGTTCATTGATGCCAGCTTAATAGTTGCTATTCATATAACTTCAGTGCTGACACATATTAAAGAGATTATAGAGAAAAGGTAAATATCTACATGCCACAACAGGAAGAAGAACAAGAGAGGACTCTTGTTCATGTTGTATATCCTGGTTGTTTATAATTTCATGAAGCTGATGGGTTGTCTGCTAAAATAAAGCCAGGTCATGGCACACACTTGAAAGTAAATCAAGAAGCCTGTAATTGTGGACTCAGTCTGGCAAGAACAAAGAATGCTTATCCACAGGAAATATGCATGTGTAAAGCTTGTAACAATTCTGGGTAGTTAGAAAGCTGATAAAAGTAACAAGAGTTAGGCAACTTGTAGACCTCAGCTAGAAGTTAGGAATAGAGAAGGCCTGCAGCAAATAAAATGTCTATTAGATAACTCCTGGGGCATTCATTAGCCAAGGTTTAGGAATAGGGACAGCTAGAGACCAATAGAACAAATTGTAGAATTATTACTAAAATGTTTATTAGATATTTCTTGTTATCCCGCCTTGTCCTGCCTTCTCCTTTAGTGAAAATGTATAAAGCTTTCTTAATCCTTTGTTCTTGGCTCTCTTGGCATTTTGGCCAGGAGCCCTTTTCCTTGGGGTACCCCAATAAAAAGCAATCAAAACCTGCACCTCGTGTCTGGCATCCTTCATTGGCCTCGGCACCAGGCTCAGACCCGAATTGGGGACAACAAAGCTGTTGTTGCTTTTTTCAAAATTACCAGTACTTTGTGTGGCACTGTACAATTGTTGGCTTGATAAAGGGGGAAATGCTTAAATAAATATCATATGGCATTAAGCAGCATTCTGGTTCTCCCTAATTCTTTATCACAGTACTGACAAACTGTACAAAAAGGCACAACAAGTGAATATGCTTAGCAATCACAAGAGTTCATGCATACCCCAAAATATACCTAATTAATTGGAAAAAAGTGGGGAAGATCACTCAGCTCTGTAGGAATCTGATATTTTCTATCATTAAAAACTATTTTCTACTTAGTTTATAAAGTGTCATGAAGAGGAGGGTGAAAGTCTGAGGTATTACTAAGGGAAGAGAAGCAGCAGACATAAGGCACAGCATGTATATGATTATGCATCAGAAATAACATTCTAACTGTAATGAGTGGTAAGCAATGAAATCAGATGCTCAGAGGAATTGTGATATCACCTTCCTTGGAGCAACAGGAAACCCAATTCATGATGAAAAGCTGGAGGGAACTGCACCAAGTGAAGAAAAAAAATACATCTGTCTTTAATGAAGCTTGAATGATAATTTTGGAGGAATATTTTGGAAAAGGTGGGAATTGGATAGAAAAATCAATGGCCCTCCATGTTGCTGGACTGCAACTCACAACAGTTGAACCCAGCTATGGTAAGGATGACAGACGATACTGATCAGAATCATCTGAAAGGAACAACTTTCTCATATTTGGAATAAATAAACCTTAGAAGATGCAATAATTCTACCCCTGGAAAATAAAGACAGTATGTATATACATATATATATTTCCTACTTTAAAAGCGGACATATGCGGCCAAAACATCTTCCTACAGATGGAGAACTACATGGAGAATTAATAGTGGAAGTCAGAGAAGGCAGTGATGGGGAGACAATGATGAGAAGCCCTTTAGGTAATGCTAAAGTTTTGCGCTTTGCTTCTGGGTCTTTCTTACCAACTTGATTACCACAGTTAAAAGAAAACATAGACCAAATTAAGATAAAAGAGAGGATAGTGATTAAAGGATCCTCTGTGAAATTTCAAAATGAATCACTGCAAAGCATCTTAAAAGATCCCTCTGGAAAGGGTCCAATACTCACCCCTCCCCAAGCCTGTGGATTAAAAGATAGCGTTTGTTATTGATGGTGATGGTCCCCCTTGAACAGATACACAGGGCATGGCCCATGGTGGTCGCTCCAACATCCTTCAGACTCTATAGAGGATAAGAAAGCAAAGTTCCAGACCTTGGTACAGCCATTGTGAAGGCCTAAGGCTGAGAAAAGAGGGGCAGTTTCATGTCAAGATATTAATAAATGGATACATATGCAAGTAGTCCTTGTTTAGCATTCACAATTGGGACTGGTCATTAAGCAAAGTGGTTGCTAAATAAAACGGCAAGTGTGCTTCTGATCTTATTTCAGCTTTCCTTTGCTTTGCAGATCTGCAAAGGTTATATACATGCAAAGTCACTTTTTCATCACCAGTCAGAAATGTGAACAATCACTGTGCAAAGTAGTTGCTAAACATGGACTATCTGTGTATTAAACCAAATGACCTTTCATGTAAGATATAGCACTGAAGGGGAATTCAAGAGAATAGTTCAAGCTGTTTGCCCAATAACAGAATTGTGCATCCATCAGTTTCTTTTCTCCCAATATCATATAGACTTAAACAGCATGGTCATAACATTGGCACTGGAGAGGAAATGAGACAGCTCAAATTTCACGCTGTAATATAAGCTATCTTTCTGTGGGTAGGAGCCAGACTAAAAAACGAAACCGGGAACATTTTCTCCAGCTTTTTAGAGCTACAGTACAAAAACAATAAATATCATCTGGTAATGTCATGGAAGGACAATGACCAGAATTTTAAGCCCTTCTTTTTTACTTTTTTGGTGGGGAAGAGGAAGTGAGGTTTATAAAAGTAAAACTAGGCTTAGCACATTTATTTGGGGGCGTATCAGAAAAAAGAGAAATTGCACTGCTATGCTTGCCACTAAATTTTGATGGTGCAATCTTAAAGACTTTGAGAATTGCCACACACACACACCCCCAAAAGCAACAAAAGCAGGTGAAGCACAGACTTGCAAGCTTCCCAGCCCAGATGAAGACAAATGCTCCATTCTCTGTCCTGTTATAATAAAATACACTCTGTGGAACAATGAGAGACTTAATTGTCAACTCCAAAATGGCAGCCAGCTGCATGTCAACAGTTTGGCAGCCAAGAAATACATACTCAATGAATCTTCTAAAAAGAAAAAAAAAAGACTGAAAAACTAGGGAATAGGGCCTGACTCTCACCCAAAATTATGTAGTTTATTTCTGGAAAAACAAAAAAAACCCTGTTATCTCAACAAGGAATGGAACAATCCAGAATCAGAACTTCCTTCCACCTGCTCTCTGTTGAATCATATGATGAAATGCAATTGGCATCTTCCCAAACGCAAAGGCACTTAAGTATGACACTAACTGAACTGATAGCATGGAAAGGGGGAAGAAAAGTATCTTTAACTGCCTAGGAAAAGTGTGACTTTTTAAAAACTACGTAATAAAACTCTTTTATATATTTCCCCTTGCTTACCGTCTCCCTAAGTGTTACCCATAATCCAAAGTGAAAGGACAGAAGCCTTCCCTTTGGATTACATTCTAAAAGGGCAAGGCACATAAGGAAAAAAAGGAGGAGGGGGGAAGAAAAGGTAAATATTAGTTCTTCAGAGCTGGAGAGCAAAGCGTTGAGCAGCAATCACGTTCAGAGGTTCAGAAATATATATACGTTGATTGGCGGTGCATCGAAAACCCATCGAGGGAAGCAGTACGTGCAGAGTTCTGCCATGGGAATAATGCACTCTGCACATGACCAGAGGCACAGTCGCAGTTACTGTTATGTCATTTGTTCTAGAGTGGATAAGTGCATTAAATTCCGAGGCAGAGTTATGGCTCAAACTCTCAAAACAGGAGACGGAAATATCCTGCCCTGGAAGTCCTGTCGCCCTTTCTGGATCCGCCACTCTCGAATTCAGAACAGCCGCAAAGTCGACCAAGCTCATCTTCACGCCCCGCCCATCTGCGGAGGCACACGGGGGCGGGGGGGAGAGCAGAGCGGAGGGGAGGGGAGGGGGCGACACACTCACCCAGTCTCGGTCTAGAGCTCGAAGGCGTCCTGGAGAGCTGGAGCGCGACAGGAGCCAGTGCGCTGGCTGGTGACGTTATCACTCTGCGCCGTCTGCTCTGCGGCCCTGGAGGTAGCTAAGCAACCACTCGAAGGGAAGGAGAAAGTATCTGTGAAAGAGGAAAAGAGGGCGGGAAGTGGGGGAAAAAATGATAAGCAAACAGAGAAAAACAGACAGAAGCCATGAGCTCAAGAGCAAGTCTGTAGAGTTTTTAGACAAAAAGTGTTGGGCTTCAATATTGTGGGTTTTATTTGACGGGGGGGTTACTGAATATTTCTTAAAATGTATCACTTTGAATTCAGCAAAGACTTATTTTTAAATAAATGCGTATAGCCGTATAACTTAGTCCAAAGGTGCTTTTTTTTTCCCCCCTCAAAGAGGCAACTGGACTTACTGGTTTTTCTTTGAAGATGTTTTGCTTCTCATCCAAGAAGCTTCTTCAGTTCTGACTGGATGGTGGGAAAATTGAAGAAGCTTCTTGGATGAGAAGCGAAATGTCTTCAAAGAAAAACCAGAAAGTCCAGTTGCCTCTTGGGGAAAAAAGCACCTTTGGGACAACCATGACCTGGATGACTGAGAATCTCCATAGACCATTTAGTCCCAAAAGGCTCTTATGTACTTGAATTCTGCCATGAAAATAATATACTGCTCAAAAAAATAAAGGGAACACAAGCAGAAGACATCCGAGATCTGAATGAATGAAATAGCCTTATTAAATATTTTGTTCTTTACATACAGTAGTTTATACACTGCTCAAACAACTAAAGGAAACACAAAACTACTGTATGTAACGAACAAAGTATTTAATAAGGCTATTTCATTCATTCAGATCTCGGATGTCTTCTGCTTGTGTTCCCTTTATTTTTTTGAGCAGTGTATATTCAGTGTACTTCACACAGCAGTTAAAATAATGCCAAGCAAGCTGTGAAAGGCTCTAAATGAGTTCCTCTAGATACGACAATTTATTTTTAATTTCAACCGTTTCTCTAGAAAACTTAGGGCAACATGTATAAATCACCACCACCACAGTAGGCCAAAGTCTTCTGGTGAAATTTATAGAAGTATAGGGATGCAATAGTGGCGAACAGTGTGTAAGGATTCAAGGCAGATGTAGTTTTAGGCACTTTAACATGCTGGATATCGCAATGAGAGTTTTAATAAAATTTAATTGTGACCATTTTAATAATATTATTGTGATCATTTTAATGAGCGGCATGGTGGCCTAGTGGTGAAGACACTCACCTCCCTCTTGGAAGGTTGAGAATTCAAACTGAGATAGTGGCAGATGTTACCTAGGGCACAAAGAAAAAATATATGTTGTGAACACTGCAAAAGCATCAGGAAGGGCACTGGCCAGTAAATGCTCAGCTTCATCTAGTCGCCCTAACTCTATGCTGAATAGAGACTACAGGGTCTTAAAAGGGGGGAGGGGGGGAAATTGTGATCATTTTAATGTTGACAGCAGACATTTGACATTCTGATCAAGTAACTCTTTTGTAGCTTAGATTGCAATGGCATCTAGAGCCTGATTGGTTTTACCTAAACTTTACTATTCAGTGACTCCTAATTCCTTAGTTTATAACAGCATCTCATTATGAGGTGGCACAGAATGTGGTGATGCCAAGGTTAGTGTGCCCCCCGCTGGGACATTATGCATTGGTTACCTTGGGTGTCTGTATGGGTTCCCTGTTAATGAATGAATACAATGATTATACAGGTCTGGTGAGTAAAAGGGACTTCCAATGACAAGTTTCAATAAATGGGACATAGAACACTGAAAAGCATGAAGATTATATAATTACATGATAGCAGCACACAATATTTAATAATTAAAATACTTGATATTCTTATGGAGCCTTTTGCTCTCTCAGAATAGGTATGTATTAGCTTGTTTCAGAATCACCATATTTGATTCTGATCATTTCAACATTTATTAGATCTACAAGAAGTGTGAGTTATCTCTAAATACAGTGTGTATAATTTATTATTTAAAAATAATTGATGCTTTTGAATCAATAACATACAATGCAATATCAGCTTAGGTATATTTCTTTACACTCTCACAGATAACTATTTGTCTTTATCCTGCTAGTTTGAGGAAATGTATGTTTTGCATAAACTGTATACTTGGTAATGGTAAATAAAATCTCTGTTTCAGTTCCTCTGTTTCATTTTTGAATTCACAAGAACCTTGGTACATCACGGTATTGTATTATCCTCTGATATGACTGGCTTTGGATTTAGTTCATTTAAAAAAAAATGTTGACAGTCCTTCTCCCCTCCCAACTCATAGGAAGCACCAGGGCCTGCCCACCAGATTGTCATGTGATATCTTCTTGCAGCTTCTTGTTACAGGCTGAAGTTAACGTTAAACAGATGGGGCTGTGGCTGTATATTTTCATTGTAGTTTTGGGAGGCTTACGATTTCAGGTAAGCAAAAACAATTAGAGAGGGATTTTATTGGGAAAAATGCTGAAATGATTTTTTTTCAACTTTTAAGGGAAATATAAAAGATTTATTTATCTGCTTTGTAATCTTCCATGTAGTCTCATAGTCCAGGTTTTTCTTTAGAATCTTTTTGGCACTTCTTCACAACCTTCTCCTAATATTCTGTTTGTAATTAGTGAGTTGATTGCCATACCATTGAATTAAGCTCCTGTGTAATATAATTATCTTGGAATTCTTATACATGGAGCATAATCTGTTCTGCTCATTAGAAATTCTCAACAGTCATGTGACTCAGGGCACAACAAAGAACACTATAGAGTTCAAAGTATTTTAGATTATGATCTAAGTCACACAGAGCAAATTAATCATTTATTTTTCAAAATAAATTCTCAACAATCATGTGATCATGTGTGATTAGCTGGCTGATAATGGGTAACCATATCATGGGTTATAAAGAGATGAGTAACTCCACAATATGATTCAGTAGAAGATCTAACATCGGCCAGTAACCTAGAAAGAGTTTAAGTGAATAAGTGAGGGGCAGACCTAAATATCAGGTATAAATTGTGATTGAGTCGTTAGATTTGAATTTGCAAGATTTGGAGCATCAGTGAGAATGAGATATGAGTTACCTTGGGATGCCTTATGTGACATGTCTAGGTACATGAGATGTTTCCTCCTCAGGAAAGTATTGTATACAGTACTGTAATGTCCTTCCATTCTGAAATGTTGTATTGTTTTATACTAGCTATTCATAGGTCTGAAAGCTCCTATGCAAAGCAGAAATACATGAAGGAGCTAATCAGTGTTAAATATATAGTTTGAACCAATGATGTAAAATCTGTAATTATATCTTATTATGGCCATGGAACAAATGGATCTTCTACCCTAGCCCTAACCTTAATAAATAGTTAAAGCAGCACTGTGATTGTATGGAAAAAGACAATATGAAGCTTTCCTTCTTTTTCTGGATAACAGGGCACTGCAGCAGTTCGTTCCTTTAGCATTGATTATAAAAATAACTGCTTCCTCAAGGATGGAAATAAGTTTCGTTATATCTCAGGCAGCATCCATTACTTCCGTATCCCACCAATTTATTGGAAAGACCGGCTCCTCAAGATGTATATGAGTGGTCTCAATGCTGTACAAATGTAAGTGATCAGAAGTGATTCCCAGCTGGGACATTACTGTTTGCTGTAACAGAGACTAGAGACTGAAACTGATCATAAATGTTCCAATTTTCTAATTGGAAGGTTATACTTTGGACTATACCCAATATTGTGAGCAAAGAAATTCGTACTTATTGAAAATGCATCTGACCGAAGTAATGAAAATCTTTTATTCTATCATAAGGTCTCATTAGGATATATATAACCTTGTGCACATACAGTATGTCTGTATAGCACTAACTGTATGTATGCACCCTGTTTTCCTAAAAATAAGACCTATCCCAAAAATAAGACCTAGCATGTTTTTTACATGTGTGCCTAATATAAGCCCTACCCAGTGGTGAAATCTAGAATTTGTTACTATCGGTTTTGTGGGCATGGCTTGGTGGTGGGGGGGAATGTGACTGGGTGGGCGTGGCCAACTTTTTTTTTTTTACTTTTAAAACCATTTTTTCGGCAAAGAGGCTGTAAAAAAATGCTTTCAAAAGGCTCTGACGATCCCAGCTGAGTTCCCTGATCGGCAACTCAGCTGGGATCATCAGAGGCATTTAAAAGAAAAAAAAAAGTTTTTTTTCTTTTAAATGCCTCTGACGATCCAAGCTGAGTTTTTTAAAAACCATCATCAAAGGCTTTTCTTTTTTACTTTTAAAAGCATTTTTTCAGCCGAAGAGGTTGTAGAAAAAATGCTTTTAAAAGTAAAAAAAAAAAGCCTCTGATGATTGTGCGGCTCAGCTGGGCATGGGGGGAGGGGGCAGGGATTTTTGCTACCAGTTCTCCGAACCACCCGCCTCCATTGCTACCGGATCAGGCGATTCGGTCCGAACCGGGAGCATTACACCCCTGGCCCTACCCCCTCAAATAAGCACTACTTAAGCCTTTGCAGCCGGCCGGCCACGTATTCCACCTGGTTGTTTGCGGTGCTGCAGCCACGAGGTGGAGGGTGGGGGGTGGAGCTTACCTAAAGGCCCCTGCAGCCAGGCCATCCATGCCCTAACACCTGCCTCACTGCAGCAATACCAGCAGCCATGTGCAGCAGTAGCCCACAGGGCTGCCAGCCCACTTCTGCTTGCTCGCAGTAGAGCAGGAGGCCAAGTGGTGTGCTGATGCCATGAGGGGTGTCAGATGTCAGGGTGTGGAGGGCCTGGCTGTGGGGGCCCTGAGGTAAGCTGGTGCAGGGCACGTGGGATAGCTCCACCCCTCCGCCTTGCCTCGTGGCCATGGCACAGGTGCATCACTGGGCCTCGTGCTCCATTGTGGCCACAAACAAGCAGAAGAAGTGGGCCAGCAGTCCCGCAGAGTCCTGCTGGATGGGGTTGCTGGAGCTGCCATCGCAAGGCAAACAGGTGTCGGAACGTGGGTGGCGTGGCTGCTGCAGGGGCCCTGAGGTAAACCGGTGTGAGGCGCATGGGACAGCTCCACCACCTTGTC